TCCGTCGGAATGTTCGTCAGGATTTCCAGTGTTTTCTTGTAGTGATAATAAGAAAGCTCTTTGTTTAGAATGCTGAAAACGTACTTTGATTCAATGAAAGACATGGCCTTAATATAGTATTACAATAACAAAAACAGAAAATAAAACAAGACTTGTGCTAGTGGAACAGAGTAACAGAACGTGAGCCGTATTACTCGGTCAAACAGAACAGAAACAAAAGACTAAATCAACTTAACTAATCCAATGACTGCAAAGCTCTTATTCCATCCAACGATCATCATTACTTCATGACTAATTTGCTCCAACAACGTTAAGTCTCAAAACTGTAGATACCAAGTTACCAACATCGTACTGTGTCTATCCTTTTATTTGGTGTAAGTGGCTATCTCTTGTTCACTCTTTTGCATTTTATTTTCTCTCTAATATATATTTCTATCTGTGTTTACTTAATTAACCTTTACTGTTGATTACAAAAAATCTATTTTATTTTATTCAATTTTTCTTGGTTTAAATTTTAAATATAATCATTTAATTTGTAAATGTAAGTTTGTAAACCCTAATTTTATGCGTTTTATTTTGTAGCATAATTAATTTTTCTGTTTTCGAAAAGACAAACTCATAGCTTTGGATCTCAATTTGATTGATCTTTATAAATAAAAATCCGCTTGAACAGATGCCGAAATTGCTCACTCCATATTGTTGCCCAAGCAGAGATTTAGTAATACTTAGTCAAATTAATTATTAAATACTTTTTGTAAAAGACGATCAAAACAAATCTAAAATGCAGGTGAGTCAAGATTTTTAGTCAAAATCTTACTGTGACTGTGATCTTTTATAGCCAAACTTGACTTTGCCTTTGTATGTTCTGAATATTCTGATATCAAACATTCAAACCTATAATACTGAATATTAGTATCGTAATGATGACTGTTTGAGTAATGTCCTCAAACTGATTCCATATATTCATCCAATCATAATTTAATAGGAAAGAAAAGTGAAAAAATGGTATATAATATATAATGTGTGAAGATAATTTGCCGAAACAATATGAGTCAGACAAAAACTCGGCAACGAGTTGAGGAAGATGGGTCCCTCTTGAAAGTTGAAACTCTCCATGAAACATCGTATGTAACTATCCTCGAAGTTTATAAATTCTTTTACAAATTAAAATAAGAAAATAGTGATGTCTTTAAGAAGTATGGTTAAAGCATTCATGTCTATCAAGTCATGAATTCGAACTCAAGATGCATATAATTTAAATGACCTCATAATAGTTTAAATCTATTTTTATTCAGTATGTAAGTATATATGTATATATAATATATTAACTCATAATATTATATACTATTTTTTTCTTGTTTCGAAACGGGAAACATGAATACTAATAAACAGAAAATTATAATAATTGAGACACGTAATTAACTTTATGTATATACTATCATTTGTAAGAAGGTGTTTCGTCAATATTTTCTACAACCATAACAAAAGAAGATTTTATTTTGTTATGGAAAGAAAGTGTTTGGGACGTGCAAATTCTACACACGTGCAAATACTTTCTAAGTTTTCTGTAAAATTTTCAGGCTGTATTTCGCAGATGTGGATGGGATTTCCTCAAAGAAGGTGTGCTTTGACCCGATTATAGAAATGTAGTATGATTTTTGGTACATTTAATATTCGTAGATAGTTATAGTGAGTCGACAAAAAGAAGAAGAAGATAGTTATAGTGATACGAAAATTTAATGTCTGGTCCGTGAAGGCTGCTGGACTACTGTTTTTTTTTTTTTGCTGGACTACTGTGTTAACGGTCAACATGTCTCAACGATCGAAGCGTTCGTATATAATCAAATTTGGAAGCCATGTGATTATCATATGATTGATCGCATCAAGGGTAGAAATAGAATATGACTGTATAACAACAATTTTTGTTAGCTTTCTACTGTGGACAACAAAATAGTTTATTTAGTTTGGAGAAATTAATGTACATTACTGGTTTAAAAACATTCGAAACTAACATAATATCATCACATTTTCAAATGTACAACTCTAATCACTGAACTAAAAAAACCCATTTAAAGATTCAGTGCTTAGTATTTTAAATGTGCAAGTGTTAACTAGTTCACAATTGTGTTTTTTGTCATTTATACTGTTTACATCTAGTTTAATAGAATAAAAAAATTATACATGTCTAACGTTCAATTTTCAAATTTACCGCTATAACTAGTGTTGCTGTTAAAACTAAAACCTACTAGAAAAAAATTGTATTAGTCATTTCATTGACGAAGTTTAAGAAAATCATGTCATTAACAAACAATAGCGGAATAAAAACCTCTATATAGTTAGAAAATCCTTCAATCGTTCAAGCCTCCAAGGTCAGCATTTCTTAGTCAAAAAAGGAAAGCATTTCTAATTTGCTAGAACGAACCATATATAGTTAAACATCGACCAATAAAATAATTTGGAAATTCAACGACCATAACTAAAATGACATATATTAGACGATAAGACCCTGGTATCGACAATTTGTCTTGGCATCAGAAAAATAAAATTCTAGGTCATTTCATGTAGGACAATATAATAAATTTCTTTTTTAAATAATATGAAATTTGACTTAATAAACTGACCCACTTCAATTCCCCACGACGAATATATCATATGATTATCAATTTATGATTCATGTTTCTCTATATATACACACACAAGTAGGCATATAAAATTACAAACATCTGGGGCTCTAAAACTGCTTACTAAGATCATAATTCATCAACACTAAAACTCTCAGACGATCTTTTTTATTTTTTTCTTGTAAATTGATTTCTTTAATAATGTCTGGAAGAGAGAAAGTGAAGCCAGAGCCAATGAAAGTTGTGTTCATTAACACACAATACGTTGAGACAGATGCACGTAGCTTCAAGAATGTTGTTCAAGAACTCACAGGTAAGGATGCCATCGTAGCCGCCGGTCCTTTCGAGTCTCCATCCACTTCCGACGACCGTGGTTACGGTGGAGGAAGTAAAATAGGCGAAACTTCCAGACGGAACAATGGTGGTGGAGGAGGAGTACTGGGGACGACGACTGAGTTTGAAAAATTTGTCAAGGAGATGCCTCCCGTAGAGGAATTGTATAAACTATGGTCAGATAATTGAGTATTAACTTAAACTCTATACGTTAATGATTTGAACTTTATTCTACAGCGATTTAATATTCGTTTTGTTCTCAAATAAAAAAAGTTGCTTTCATCCACTAAGATAATGTTCAGTAATCTCCTTGAGAACAAATTCAATAGGAGAGTGTGTAACGAAAATATAATCTTTGCAATAGGATCGTTACACACTCTTGAGATTAGGTCCTATTGCAAAGATTATATTTTTGGAAATGTAAAATGAATTGCATTAAACACTTATAGTACGGCCCATTTCTCCGAGTTCTGAACGGGCATAGAGCTTACGTTGTCTAAGAGTTAGTTTAGTTTGGTGTACTTGAAAGAAGGCTAATATACTGCCAAGTCAAGAAACGGAGGAAACAATTTTAAAATCACGGTACTATAATATTCTTTAGACAAATCCTTCACACAAAAAAAGTCCAACATGTTATAGTTCACAACAACCAAATTATGTAAACTTATCTTTCGTGTTTATATGTATGAAAAGAGGTTAGTGTAAGTGTGTAAATAGCTGAGGCAAATAGCAACAAAACCCCATGGTTGATTGAGCCTCTTCAACCAACCTTAACCAATTTTATGTTGGTTAACCATTTCTTTTACATCAACCCAAAAAGCACACACACGATTTATATTTATATATGTTTTTAATGCAATAAACGCGTAACATAACGCCTACAATTAGGAATTAGGATCTAGTTTTAAAATATCACCAAACTTTGAACAACAATTTTAGAAAGAAGTCAGTCCTCGTACAATTAGTACCCCCTTACTATTTTTCTTCATTCCTTATTAAATCTGATAAGTAAAATTACGAATATTGAGATTAATTCAGACCGAACTTTGTGCTTAAGATTAACTAGATCATAACCCGCCCGACTGGGCGGGTCTTTGTTTTTATGGTATAGATAACATTTCAAATTTACAATTTAATGGTTCTAATTTTATTAAGTAATAGTATATTGTTTAAACATTGTATTTCATTATTGTATTGTGTAACAGAGGCGTCGTAAAATGTTGTGACCCGTAAACATTTTAGTAATAGTTTATAAAGTTTTTTGACTAAATTTGGTGTAAAGTTATATACACTAAATCATTTAGTCAAATTTTTAATTTAATTTTTTAATAAAGAATTGGAAGGCTAGTATATCACTGTTAAAAACTTATAAGAATAGTCAATATAAATTATATAAATAAAATATATATTATTCTTGATTTATTCTAAATACATTTAAAACATGAATACATATATGTATAAATAATTTGTAGAAATAAAGTAATATCAATGATAGAAAATCTAAAAACAATAATAATGGTACCTTTTGGGCCGCAGTAATCTTTAGTATAATAAAAAAGCTCATTAAATTTGTATGCTATCCATGTTTCCAATCAAACTTTTAAAATTTTCTTATTCATGTTTCCAAACACTTTATTTTTGTACTTCAACTTTAATAGTATAGATGGCTACCATAGGAATCAGTGTTCAAAAAAGATAACCATCAAAATAGATATTGCCAAGGCCTTTGATACTCTTTCATGGGATTTCCTCTTCTCGGCATTGGAAAGCTACGACCTCCCTGATGCTTTCCTACGTCTTCTCCGGGCATGTGTCTGCACAACATCTCTTACAGTGGGTTATAATGGTTCAGTAAGTGGTTTCTTCAAAGGAAAACGTGGTCTTAGACAGGGTGACCCTCTCTCCCCTTACCTTTTTGTAATTGCGATGAACTGTCTATCAATGATGTTGGATAAAGTGGCTCGGAATGGCAATCTCTCATATCATCAGCACTGTCAGAAAACTAAGCTTACCCACCTCTCCTTTGCGGACGATCTACTCATTTTTATTGATGGCTCTATCGAATCGGTGCAAAGGGTCCTTCAGGTTCTCCATGACTTCGAGTTGCGCTCTGGTCTAGCTGTTAGTATCCAAAAATCAAGTTTCTTCGCCTCTGGCCTCTCTGCTGAGGAGATTTCTGCTATTCAAGTTTCCACTGGAATGCCTTGTGGTGGTCTTCCTGTGCGTTACCTTGGAGTTCCTCTCTGTACTAAAAAACTTAACCTTGTGAACTGTGAGCCTCTTCTGCAACAAATCAAAGCGAGGTTCTCCTCTTGGTCAGCTAAGTCTCTCTCGTTTGCGGGTAGGTTACTTCTCATAAAAACTGTTATTGCTGGTGTCTCCACTTTCTGGTGCTCTAGCTTCATATTGCCAAAAGCCTGCATTACCAGAATAAACTCTCTTTGTGGCATGTTCCTTTGGAATGGTAAAAGTGAAGGGCATCAATCGGCTAAGGTAGCATGGGACACAGTAACACTTACCAAATCACAAGGAGGTCTCGGCGTTAAAGATCTCCACTCCTGGAATTTAGCTTGTATCCTCAAATTGATATGGATGATCTTCTTTCGCCCTAAATCTGTCTGGGTCTGCTGGTTTAAAGAAGTGATATTAAGAGGAGAGATCAGTAACTACTGGTCGATTAATACAAGTTCTTCTTTCTCTTGGTTAGTTAACAAAATGATCAAGTCAAGGACTCTCATTTACCCGCTACTAAGAAGAATGATTGGCAATGGAGAGTCTACTAGCTTTTGGTTTGATAACTGGTCCCCCTTTGGCAATCTCGATAACTACCTCGATGCCTCCACTTCAAGGCTTGGAATACCCAAGACCGCCACGGTGGCTTCGTTATATGCTCAGGGCCGTTGGTTGCTTCCTCCTGCACGATCAGAAAGACAGTTAAAGCTCCAGGTTCATCTTACTACGGTACAGCTTACAGAGGAACATGATCATCATATTTGGGAAATTGAAGGGAAGCTAACTACTCGTTATTACTGGAGATGTTTATACCTACTTGAAAGGGTCTTCTCCCCAAGTTCCTTGGGCGGATGTGGTCTGGATTACTCATGGGATCCCTCAACACAACTTCTTAATGTGGCTCGTCATACTGGATCGTTGTCCCACCCGTGATCGCTTGAATCGATGGGGCTTGGATGTTGATCCTCATTGTCTCCTCTGCAACATCACTATGGAGTCCAGGAACCACTTGTTTTTCGAGTGCCCATTTAGTACCTCGGTTTGGCAATCGATCTCGAACAGGTGTCAGATCCTTTCAACCAACTCCCTCGACGCCATTGTCCACCAGCTTCATCACTCCACGACAAACAAGGACCTTCGTCGTCTCACTCTACTTGCGTTTCAGGCTACAATCTACTGGATTTGGCACGAAAGGAACACAAGACTCCACCAACAAACTTTCAAATCTGCTGAAGTCATCTTCTCGACCATTGATAAGCAGCTCCGCAACCGTATTCAGAGTCTTCGCCACACTAACCCCCGTGCTTCGTCCGCAATGATGCAACTTTGGTTTCTCAGACCATAGTTTCTATCGACGATCTCTCAAGGCAACTATCTCTCCCGACTATCCAAATTCGTGGGCCTCAACTATCTCCCTTGGGCCGGAAAGTTCCACTGATATGTGTTTTATTTTAGTAACTGGGCCTTGCTCTTCTAAACTATTGCTTTCGAGCATGTAAAACATTTTTCTTCTCATGCTTTTAATATGAATGCCTTTTTACAAAAAAAAAAAAAAAGACAAAACTGCCTTCACAAAAATTTATAAACCTCCTTTTTCTAGTCAACAAACCAAAAACTAAACCCCCCGACGTCGTTTCAGCGAAACAGATCGTTACGCGCGAATAAAGCAGCAGAGTGATACTTTGCATGTGGTATCATATTCCATCTAGGGCTGGGCAAAAAAACCGAACCCGAAAATCCGAACCGAACCGACCCGATAAAAAGGAATCCGAACCGATCCGAACCCGATATAAGTACCGAATGGATCTTGTTTTACGGTATTTCGGGTTATGGGTATTACCCGAACCGAACCCGAACTTAAATGGATATCCGAAAGAACCCGAAACCATAAAATTCCAAACAAACTTGTTTCATATCCAAACTAAATTTCTTATATGTTTTGCAAAACAGATTAATATATTATTGAGTACCTACAATAATTAGTTATGATATAAATAATTAACTCAAATATTTAGTCTAATATATAGTGTTATTTAGTTTATATTTATGTTTATGATTGACATTACATTTGAAGTTAAGTTACGAATAAATTTGTTTTGAAGTTTATATAATATTGTTTTTTTCTAAGTTTAAATAGTACTTCTTACGTTTATAGAATTGTTGTTAACTTTAACTTTTTATGTTTCATTATGTATAATATTTCGTTCATACAAGGTTTTGGTTTGTCATTAATCATGATATGTTTAGTATTATCACATATAGTTCAATGACAAATCTTACATGGTTGATAGACGAGTTTCACAATATTATTTTGAAGGAGAAAAATATGGTTTGTTGAAGCTAAATACAAAAAATTAATAAAATGATTGAAAATATAGTGAGTTTAATTGAGTATAAATTAGTACTTTTAGAACCGATAACCCGATTAGTATCCGAAACCGAAATTATATCGGGTTCAACTCGATCTTGGACGTGTTACTAAACCCGAACCGAACCCGTCTAAACCCGAACCGAATCCGACCCGAATTTTTATAATATCCGAACAGGGTTGAAATTCATGAACCCGAAAACCCGAAACCCGAATGAACCCGAAAACCCGAAACCCGAATGAACCCGAACCGAAACCCGATTGGAACCCCGATTGCCCAGCCCTAATTCCATCGTACACGTACTCTGTTCCCTGCTGCTTCTCTCCACCTCATCATCATCATCATCATCATCATCATCATCATCATATTTCCCGTCAAAATGGAAACAAAAAAAAAAAAAAATTCAGACAGATAACTTTAATCTAACCTTGTACTTCTTCTTTCTCTGACTTTATATAATACGAAACATAAACATTCCTTTTCTCTCTTTTATCTCTCCACAGAGTAAAGTTTTGATCATGTCTCTTATTATCTTCTTGCTTTCTTCTGCACTCTTTTTTTTTTGTGCACAAATTTCATTAAAAAGACTAAAGTGTTTCAACGATTACAACCGGAGGTATTCTCGACGGTAAGATAAACAACAAAAGTAATAAAGCAGTAAAGCATGGGATAGAAGTGTTACAAGGAGAGACTAGCTTAAAGTAAAGAGATCCGTAGATAATCTTAACTTGAATCCTTGGAACCGCAGCTCGTAAAAGCTCTAAATAGTCTGAAAAGACGTTGAAATACCCTAGTGAAAGGGGTTGGAAGAGGGGTGGAGAGCCGATATAGGCTAAGTAACCTGTCAAACGAAAGAGACCAGCTCTACAACCGTCTATGATGTACCGGGAGACTAGGTGAATCTCAAAAGGTCCGGATAGCAAAACGATCGGTAAGCGAAATGATAAGGTAGTTGAAGCTCTTTTCCTCTCCGATTCCATTGGTGAATTTGACACTGAATCAAGCATAATGGCTGGCATATTCGGAGGGTGTTGTGGGATGGAGCCGTGAAATTGAGGCTTCATACGCCTACAATTGGAGATACCAAGAAAACTTTCCAAAAAAGAGACATGTGAATCTCAATTAATATGGAAAGTAAGAAAGACCTGAAATGCCTGGGTTTAGAGATGAAAATCCAATAAGACCTTAGGGCCTTAAAACCTCTCAAATTAGAACTGTGGCCCAAGAGATGTAACCAAACCCAAGCCCATGAATTAACTAAGAGACTGCAGAATAGGGTTTTGTTGAGGAGTAGTTCACCAGCGCCGTTCTCTGATGACGGATCAGCCTCTCCACGTCCAATGGGACTCATAAATCCTGTTGACGGGTGTCTCTTGTAAGCTCCAGGGTAAGGACGTAGTAGAGGTCGCGGTGGGTGGAGCCTTGAATTTGCCGAAGATGTCAATAGATTTTCTCTGTGAGGGTTATCTCCGTAGAGGTATTGGTGAGCCGGTGATGTCACGAAGACAAGATACACGACGGGACCAGGACCAGCAAGGCAAATGTCGAGGTTTGGTGATAGACAGCGGTTGGAGATGGAGATGGTGGACGAATCTGGACTCCATTTTGAAAGAGTAGCAATGCAGTACGATGGAGTCTTGTTGTAGGTGAAAGTGACGAGGAGTGGTGGAGGCGTTTTAGATCTACACAAAACCCTAGATCTGGCGAGTCTAAGCTCGGCAAGAAAAGATCCGGTGGTTGTGCTTTCACAGGGAGGAGCGGCGCCAAGGATTAGAGTAGGAAGGACGATGGCTGCGGTGAGCATAGGAGGCTCCATCTGAGACCCAAGTGTTGACTCCGCTGGTACAAAGAGGCGAACAGATCTGGTGTGAGAAGCTTCGAGAAGGACCATAGGACACGAGCCGTAGGAGACGGCCAGGAGACGAAAACAGTAACCGAAGACGACGAGTAGACAGTAACGGAGCAGTACGAAATCAAAGACGGGGAGAAGGACCCGACGCCGGTGGCCAAAGGCCTTACCGGCGTCGAGAACAACGGCTTGAAGCTTTACCTCGGGAATTGGGTCTGGGAGAGTTTTCTCTCTTGTTTCTTTGGTGAACTGCTTTCTTCTGCACTCTAGATTCTCTTCCTCGAAGTTTTCAGGTTTGGTTCTCCGTACTTAATTCATTTTGTCTCTGAAACTATCTGAAAAGTGAGTACTGTCAACTGTGTAGTAAGGGTTTTGAAAATAATTTCTATAAATGGAAACTTTCCACATTTAGGGTTTCTATGTACGCTACTTCCTTACAAATGGTTTGCAAAAACTACTAAAATTGTGTGCTAAGATTGGATTTACGTTTGTGCAGGTTTAAAAAGTTTCTACCTTTATGGGGAGGATTGCTCTCAGTTTGAAGCATTTACCTTTTTAGATTAGTCTCCAGTGGCGAGATAGCAACAGTGAAAGTAGAGAAAGGAATTGTTTTTAATCTGTTAATGTGATTTGAGTAACATAACCTCTGCTCTTAAGGAGGTTTAGTAGAACATTAGCGAACGGAAGGTTAGAGCTTTGTGAGATGGGTAATACGCTAGGGAGGAAGTGGCAAGTGGTGGAAGAAAAGTATACAAAGCCACAAGGTTTGTATATATATGAATAAAGATGTCGATATTAAGAAGTTTAGGAAACTCATTGTAGAGTGTAAGCTTGATCCTTTGCTATCCTAGACCGATGAAAGCTGCCATGATCTAGAAGATTGTCCTATTTGCTTTATGGTTTGTGGTTTTTGCAGCCTCTGAAGAATGCTTAACAAAGATGTATCATTTTTATAGAGCTAACTCAGTGATGTTTTTTCATGTGGTTCTAGTACTATCCATCCTAGCCTCAATAGATCAAGATGTCGCATGAAAAGCACTTGTACAGATGAAATATTGCTTCAGCTTTTCTTAGGTTCTTTGTTTTACTCATGTTTCCAGCATATCATTTGATATGGCTATTTGTTGCAGAGTGTTTTTTGCAAATAAAGAATCTTAATTCAGCTCGGCCTACTCACTATCCTTAAGTCTAATCTTGTGCATCAACTTCTAGGGACTTGTCTTTTACTATTAGTTTTGATGGATCTTCTTTTCTGTGTCTTCCTTACATTATGAGGTGCCCCTTTTGTAAAACGCCAAACTATGCTGTTGAGTACCAGGGAGTAAAGACCAAGGAGGAGAAGGGCATTGAACAAGTTGTAAGAACTTTATACTCATTCACAGGAACTTTTTTCTATAAAGCTTTGATTGAATGACTTTGTTCATATGTAAATGCTCTGTCTCTGCATCCTTTTGCAGGGGGAGCAAAGGGTTATAGAAGCCAAAATAAGGTGGAGGGAGAAGGAAATACAGGATGACGAATAAGAAATGCAGAAGCGTCTAGAATTATATTCCTCTAGTACAAGAACAATGACTGGTGAAATGGAACACTGTTCAGCTTCAGGTCGGTTTTTTCTTTTGTCCAATCAGAAACAAATGGGATTCATTTTTGATAGGTTTCTTTTTTTGTGCCTTGGTTTTTGCAGCTATACCTTATAATGATCCCATGGAGCTGCTGAGATTGCTTCATAGCAGAACCCATCCGTTGTTAGACAGCATTCCCGCCCTCATGGGAAACATGTATTTATTAGCGGTAAGCATAACAAGATAAAGAAAAATGTTACTTCTCACTTCATTTCTAGGTCAAACTATGTCTTAATGTTGCGAGGTTAAATTTTGTTATGCTTCCATCTGGGTTTAAAATAGCGCCTCAACCCTTGAGGCGATGGGAAGGCCAAGCACGCCTCAACGCTATAGCGTCGCTTCGGAACGCCTCGCCAACTTGAGGCGTGATCAACACCTACACAAAAGATTAGTTATAAATCATCAGGTTCTTTAACTCTTTGTAATTATCCTAGACCATTAAAGTTTAAATAAATAAGAATCCATAAAATAAAACTTAAAACAGAGAATTAATTCCAACAAAGTGTGCAAAAAAACATAGAATCAAACCAACAAAGTCTTAAAACTGAAAATCAAACCAACAAAGTCTTAAAACTGAAAATCAAACCAGCAAGATCTTAAAACAGAGAATCAAATTCTTCACTGCCTAAATACTCATTAGCTTCTGCATACTTCTTAGCTCCATCTGCAACATCTTCTTCAATTTCATTCTCATCATCCTCATCAATCAACATCATTGGAGATGATCTTTGAGAAGCTTTTTGACCTGAAGTTGAGTTTGTGGATGGATTCTTTCCTCTTTCACACCTACTTGAAGATGCTCTAGTAGGGTAACTAGGCTCATCAGCTCCAGATGCCATGCTAACCAATTCCCATGTTAAATCATCAAAAACCAGATCATCACCATCAGAGTCTCCCTCCATTCTTCCTACCAGCCACTCATTACTCTCATCAATTTCTGCTTCTAGGTCAACAGGATCAATTGTATCTTTCAGATTGTAGCGGCGTTTAAGAGCTCGGTTGTACTTAACAAAAACCATGTCATTCAACCGCTTTTGGGTCAAGCGATTCCTTTTCTTGGTATGGAGATGCTGAAATACACTCCAATTTCTCTCGCAGCCTGTTGCACTACATGTGAGACTTAGAACTTTTACAGCAAAATCTCTAAGTGTTGGAGTAGATGCTCCATAAGACAGCCACCACTCAGCAAAATCTCATCATATTCACCATAGATGTATGACCATAGATGTATCCATTCACCAGAAGCACTCTTAAAATAATCCAGCTCTTTAAGTATCTGATCTTGAGTTGCAACATCAGGGACCAACTTTGCAATGGTGTCATATAAACCTCTCATAACCTCTTCACAATTCACTTCAGGTCCTTTGTACTGAAACTCAGGATTCAAAAAGTGACCAACAGCATGCAAAGGGTGATGAAGTTGGCAGTTCCATCTTTCATCAATTATTTCAAACTCACGCTTGTACTGATCTTCTTTCCACATTTAGTTTTTCAGAAATCTTCTCCTTAGCTTTATCCATTGCTTCATAAATGTATCACATAGCTGGTTTTCTCTCCCCATCTACCAATCGAAGAACTGAGACTAATGGCTCAGTCAACCTGATTGCATAAAGAATATTTCTCCAGAAACTCTCTTGCAAAATGATTTGCTTCACCTTCTTTGTTCCTGCTTCTTTTGACCACTTTGCATCATTCCAATCTTTAGAAGTTACAAACTTTCTCAAGTTATCCTTGTGGTGGTAGTACTGAGCAAGTGTGATGAATGACGTAGCAAATCGAGTAACCGCTGGTCTATGCAGATTTCCTTGATCTGTGAACCTTCTCATCATATTCACCATAGATGTATGACCATAGATGTATCCATTCATGAAGATGCAGCTTCTTATTACAGCCTTAATTGAAGGAATCTTTCCTATATCCTCCAACATAAGATCAATGCAGTGTGCTGCACATGAAAGCCAATACAAATGAGGTCTTTTGGCCATTAGCAGCTTTCCTAAGAATTAAAAGAATAGAAGATTAAGTTAGATTCATATAATTAATAACCACATAAAAATTAGACAGATATAAACTTACCAGCTTTAACATAGTTTGATGCATTGTCAGTTACCACTTGAACAACATTAGCCTCTCCAACTTCATCAACCATACGATCAAGCATGTTAAACAACAAGTTTGCGTCTTTTACAGCCTCTGAAACATCAACGGATTTGATGAAAACTGATCCCTTTGGAGAGTTAACGAGGAAGTTGATGATGTCTTTTTGAACAACTGAATCACGCCATCCATCAGACATGATCGAACAACCTTTTGCTACCCATTCTGCTTTGTGTTCCACCAGCTGATCATCAACTTCCTTAACTTCCTTAATTAAGAGAGGAACTCGCAGCTCATACATACTTGGTGGTTTAAAACCAGAACCATATCGACCTACTAATTCAAGTGCCTCCTTGAAACTGTCATGGTTGACCGCATTGAAAGGAATCGCTGCATCGTAGAACCACTTTGCAATAGCACTACAAGCTTCGTCCCTTTGTTCTTTATCACTTACTCCAAAAATATCCTTTCTCTCTTTTCTTCCTTGTAAGATATCAGCAGGAGTAGCTTCAACATACCTGTCCATAGGACCCTTACGTTTCTTTAGATTGGGCTGAGATGGGCGTTTTTGACTTGGTTCTTCTACTTCTTCATCATAACCAAAGGCTGGTTGTTGCATTTGAAGAGCAGCTTTGGCGCCAGCTTTGTTCATGAGGAAGGTCTTGACTTCTTCCTTGACATGGTCAAGGACTTTAGGACAGGCAGTAACAGTGGAAAAGCCTCCTACCAGATGATGTTTAACCCTTAAAACTCCACCATTCATGATCTTACCACAAAAGTTGCATATCCAACAACCATATTTCTTAGGATCAGGAGTTGCATACTTTCTTGCTGGATCAACTTGCTTTGTTGAAGTAGACATGGTGATAAGAAAAGAGTAGAGACTAGAGAGATTGATAAACAGAGTAGAAACAAGAAACAAAAGGTTTTTTAGGTTTATAGACCAGAAGTGCAAGAGGCGATGAAATAATTTTTTTTTTCAAAAAAGTAAAATATTAATTACTCAACTTACGTGACTTGAAGTTTTGGAACCATAAACAGAAAGTAAATATATGCTTAATCATAATTGATAGGAAACTAACCGTTAGTCGCCAAAGCATTGAAGCGTGATGAGGCGCGAGGCATCCGAAGCGGCTCGAGGCGAGGTTAAAGCGTCGCTTTCTCGAATTCGCCTTGCCTCAGGACTCCGAGGCGGTGAACCCCAAAATAAGGTCGCCTCACGCCTTAGCAACGCTAAGGCACGCTTTTTTAAACACAGGCTTCCATGTCTCCACTTACAAATTTAATCACATAGTTGAATGAGGTTGGTGTTGACCTTAAAGAGTTAATGGTCATGGAAGCAATATGGCTTTCCATTCAGATAAGCTTTTCATGTTTAGTTCATTGTCTAACTTCTTTTTAGCTCTGAAGATAATGTTTTTACATTTCTAAATAGGAAACCGGGATGCAGAGAAATTCTGGTTGTGAGGAAGTGAAACCTTTTAGGCAGTATGTCGATAGTTAGGTTTCTTCGCCACCACTGGCACTTGCTGAACGCCAGCAAATGGTTGGCGAATCCTCCAATCACAATCACAACGTCAACGTTCTTAATACAATATGCTGCCTGGCAATTGTGAGAGTTATTACGACATAGACAAGAGACGGATGACATTGATGATCACCATCATCATCATCATTAACATAACAACACCGAGATGGTAGAAACAAGGAGTGTTCGAACTGAGTACGGTCTTTTATCATTGAGAAGGGTTACGGAACTTGTCGGTGGGTTATGACAAAGGCGGTTATACTATAAGTGGCGAAAGAGTAGTTTTATTAGTGAAAGAGT